CCACATGGGTGCGTGTCCCTCAGCGTCATTCGGAACAGCTAGCGTGCCGGGACCCTTTCCAAAGATTACGTGTAAATCATTGACCATAGCAAGTACGTGATCACCGGTACGCATGGCGGGCTTCTTCCGGTGATCTGCCTCGCCTTTGAAATGCTTGCCTTTCTTTCGACATTGATGGTTGGTCTAAACAGTGTGTGCATGCGTGGTATCCTTTGTTTGTCTGTCCTGAAAGGTTACTGAGAGCGGGCCAATCGTTGATGGTCACGAACAGCAACGCCTTTAGGTTAAATTCCTCTTGTCTGTGCTCATCCCACGTATGTACACCGTTTCCATTCCACAGCTGTAAAAGTTCTTCAACTAATGGCCTTAGGTACACATCAATGTCGTTGCCGGGTTGCTTAGGGCCTTGGATGAGAACTGGCAACATAATCAACTTCCGCTTCATGCACATCCAAGGAGGAAGGTTATACATACATAGAGTCACAGGCCAGGTGCTGTGATTGCTGCTCTACTCCCCGAAAGGATTAATGCCATCCGCGCTTAAAGCAAACCATACGTTCCTTGGGTCCTTTGAAAACTCATCCCAGTACTTTCTCACGATTTTTCTCCACTGCGACCCGTCAGCGGGTGCTCTCAACTTCCCGTCTTTCTTACGGTCCTCACTGTGCCATCGCATCGACTTGGCATGCTTTTCGTTTCTGAACAAACGTTTCAATCGTGGTATTATAGGAGCATAACACATCACCTTGCAGGAACCCTCTTCCTGTGGGGCTCGCCGTGAACATCACCAGGGTCATCTCGTCTGATCTTATACCGCAATGCACCGCATACCGGGCATGCGTTCAGATCCTTGTATGCACCGCGGTATAGGATGCAGTCATTAGGACATGCATGTATCTTCTCCACCTCCAATCCTAGAGGGCATACAGCCTTCTATTCTACGTATGTACTGTCGGGCAATTCATTATCCTTTGGAAGCTTCTTCTTCAATATTTTTAGTAGCTTCTCAAATCCTTTGTCAGGCACAACATTCTCTGCCTTCCACTGCAGCAATTCCAGTACGGTACCGAGCTTTGTGTTGCCATCTTCGCAATTGGGGTACAACCCTTTTTTGTGATCCTCCAACATGTGATCGAACTTCAACTTTTTCTTTTGACTTTCGCATTGCGTCCTTGCATCGACAATGACCCGGCGGAGATCATCATCATCAGGCACATCGCCTGGTTCCTCTTGATCTTCAGCAGCTTCACCCGTTGCAACATCATTGGGCACATCGTCTGGTTCCTCTTGATCTTCGCCAGCTCCCCCCGTTGCAGCATTACTGTATTCAGGGGGCACATAGTTGTCATCGTACTCTTCTTCTTCGCCGTCTTCCATCATAACCCCTATTTCTCCGTGCCTTGTCCAAACATTATAGTGTGGCATGAAGCCATTGTAAAGCAGGTGGGTGTGAAGGATTTTTCGGTCAGAGTAAGACTTCGTATTCCCACAATTAGGGCATGGACAACACAGAAAACCATTCTGCTTGTTTGCCTCAGCCGCATCGAGAAACTCATGCACGCCCTTAATGTACTCAGAGGTGTGTCTGTCACCGTACATCCATTGCCGGTTCATCTGCGTGCATTATATATAATTAAGTGTCCAAATTAATAGAAATTCATCATCACATTAAAACCAAAGTACATACATAGTTCTCATCTAACAACATATAGCTCTCCGGAGCATCTAATTAATTAAACATACATTGAAACTATGTAAAACATTTAAATGTGAAAACAAAGGCGATCATAATCGCAACCAAGGTAACAATTGATCCAACGGCATAATTATACCAAGCCTCGGTATGAATGGCATATTTTCTAATCTTTCTAATCTTCAAGCGCATTGCATCCATCTTGATCTTGTGATCATCGACGACATCCGCAACATGCAACTCCAATATCATCTTCTCCTCCTCAATTTTTTTTATTTTTTCCTTCAAGAAATTGTTTTCTTCTTCAACTAAATTTAACCTCTCGACAATAGGGTCGGTTGGAATTTCCGGTTCACATACATCCTAGATAAATAAAATCTATGTCACGTTGGTCCGCATAATTTTCATAAACAATAAATGAACCAATAGTTATAAAGATAATATATATACCACATCCAAATCATAGACAGGATGAGGGTCGACGGGGGCGGATACCAAAACCATCGCACTATATAAGATGCAATAATAAAAGTAAGAAAATGATACAAGTATCTATCTGAACATACAAGTAAGAATATTTTTCCTTTCAGAAAGAAGATAAGAACAAGAGGCTCACCACGGTGGTGTCGGTGATGAGATCGGCGCGGGTGATCGACGGCGGTGAAGACGGGGGTGGGGCGTGATGGACCGCTAAATCTAGACAAATCTCGAGGAAAATGGAGCTTTGAGGTCGAGCTTCGAGAGGAGAAAGCTTAACTAGTGTGGCTCGGGCATCTCATCGAACACCTCATGTGCATAGGAGGTGAGCTAGAGCACCACAAACCCCTCCCCTCGCCGGCCAGAGAAAAACAGAGCACTGGAGTGCTCTGCTCGCGGGCGAGGGTATATATAGGCACCTCATTGGTCCCGGTTCGTGGCATGAACCGGGACTAAAGGGCAGCCTTTGGTCCCGGTTCAGGCCACCAACCGGGACCAATGGTGGTGGGCCAGGAGCCAGGCCCATTGGTCCCGGTTCGTCCCACCAACCGGGACCAAAAGGTCCATACGAACCGGGACCAATGGCCCACGTGGCCCGGCCGGCCCCCTGGGCTCACGAACCGGGTCCAATGCCCCCATTGGTCCCGGTTCTGAACTGAACCGGGACTAATGGGCTGACCCGGCCTGGACCATTGCCCCCTTTTCTACTAGTGTAGGGAGGACTCGGCCGTGGACCGTGGCCGTTCTTTTTTAAGGTTGGCAAGTGTGCCGGCCGCTGGCTTTGTTGCCGGCGAGAAAACTTGAGGGATTGTTCATTTTGAAGGCTGGCAACTGTACCGGCAGCTGGCTTTGTTGCCGGCATGAAAACTCGTGGGAGGGGGGGGGGTTGATCATTCTGTAGCTTGGCATATGTATGCCAGCCGCTGGTGCTTTGCCCGGCATGAACTACGACCGCGGTGTTTAATTTCATTTGTAAACAATTTCAGGCGGCCGGACAAGATGCGTCTGCGCGTTGGGTGCACGACCAGCGCATTCAGGAAACAGGAAATGGGCCGGACGCCACCTCATTGACCTACCCAAACGGATAAAATGAACGTCCGTTTGAGATCGTGCGTTAAAGTTGGTCTTATCGGCAAGGTACCAGAGTCTGCGTGCGACCTGCCCAGCCACACAAATGGAACCATTGTTCTCAAATATTTATATTGGCCGGAAAATACAAATGGAACCGCAGAAACTTGTTGTTACCTACAATATGACATGCGATAGGTCCCATCATCATAGCCATGGAGAAAAGAAGGTGAGAAAGAGGATGAACAGGAGAAAAATACTAACATCATGCTAATTTTCATTACGGAAGACTAATATATGGATGGAAACGGTTAATCTCACAAATGAATTTTTGACATAATAACAATTTTTAGGGGTATTTTCTTTTACATAATCACTGAATATTCATATTATGAACATACACAAAAACTAGCCCGTGTGCGGGCTGACAGCGGAACACTAATAGAGCTACCTACGCAGCACATTAATCTAGTAGTGCCATGACACTTGCAACTATAATAAGTCTCTACAGTTGAAAACATATAGACTCCACTAATCAAGATTACTACTCCCACTAACAACCCTTTACTGACAAGTGTGAATGAACTGGCATATATCGGCTCCGCGACCGCGACGACCGGCGACCGGGCCACGACTGTTGTTGAGTCTTCTAGGGGAGCTCGTACCTTTCCACGCGTATATTAGCCCAGCTAGCTAGCTCTGCGCGCTCCACTCACCGAAGCTCAGTGGCTAGTAACAAACTACCGATAAATTAAGATAATGGCGAGCAGATATCGCTTCCACCTTCTACTACTCCTGGGCGTCTTCCTGCTGGCCGAGGGCGGCAAATCGAGCTCGCAGCTCACCTCCGGCGACCAAGCCACCCTCCTAGCTATCAAGAAACAGTGGGGAAACCCTCGTCAGCTTGTGTCGTGGGACCCCGTCGCCAACGCCGACCATTGCAACTGGACCGGCGTGATCTGCGGCGGGGGACGCTCCGGGGGTGTGACGGGGATATTCTTGCCGAAGCTGAACATCGCCGGCAAGGTACCGGAGTCTCTGTGCGACCTGCTGAGCCTCAGCCACCTAGACCTCTCGTACAACAACCTCATCGGCGAGTTTCCCGGTGCCGCGCTCTACGAATGCTCCCAGCTCCGCTTCCTCGACCTCTCCAACAACGCCTTCCACGGTGTCCTCCCGAATGACATCAGCCGCCTGTCACCGGCCATGGAGCACCTCAACCTGTCGACAAATTACTTCGGTGGCGCCGTGCCGGCCGCGGTGGCCGGGCTTCCGGCGCTGAGGTCGCTTCTTCTTGACACCAACCAGTTCACTGGAGCGTACCCAGCGGCCGAGATAAGCAAGCTCACCCGGCTCGAGCAGCTCACGCTTGCCTCGAACCAGTTCGCGCCAGCGCCTGCACCGCCAGAGTTCGCCGAGCTGACCAACCTGAGCTACCTATGGATGTCCAACATGAACATGACCGGTGAGATCCCGAAGGCGTACTCCAGCCTAGCGAAACTCACGCTGATCGCCTTGAACAATAATAACCTCACCGGCCAGATCCCAGAGTGGGTCTGGCAGCACCCAATGCTCGAGTGCGTGTACTTGTTCACCAATGGACTCGTGGGCAAACTACCGCGCAAAATCAGGTCGGTGAATTTGATAGAGCTTGATGTGTCGTCGAACCATCTCACAGGAGAAATACCGGAGGACTTCAGTAGCCTCAAGAACTTGAGCGTACTGTTCCTGTACACCAACCAGCTCACCGGCATCATTCCAGCAAGCATAGCGATGCTCCCAAATCTCAGGGACCTCAGGCTATTTGAAAACCGGCTCTCTGGTGAGCTCCCGCCAGAGCTCGGGAAGCACTCGCCACTTACAAACCTTGAGGTTTCAAGTAACAACCTGTCTGGCCCGCTCCCAGAATCACTTTGCGCCAACGGGATGCTCCAAGACATCGTGGTCTCCAACAACAGCATGTCTGGTGAGCTCCCGAAAAGCCTCGTGGACTGCGTCTTGCTGAACAACCTCATGATCTCCAGCAACAGCTTCCACGGCGAGTTCCCGGAGAAAATATGGTCATTACCAAAGTTGACGACGTTGGTGATAGAGAGCAATGGTTTCACCGGGGCTTTACCAGCCGAGCTATCTGAGAACATCTCTCAGATTGACATAGGGAACAACAAGTTCTCTGGCTTCCTCCCAACTTCGGGAACCGGGCTGCTGGTGTTCAAGGCGGCAAACAACCTGCTCTTTGGCGAGCTACCGGCCGACATGAGCAAGTTTGCCAACCTTACACGTTTGGTGTTGCGTGGCAACCAGCTAACTGGTTCCATACCATGAATCATACAACCACGAGTGGATTTGTTGCGGAAGCTCGGTACTCTCTACTTATGCACAATATGATTTGAGGTTCTTGAGGTGTAAGTAGTAATCGCATTGTTGAAGTTTAGGACAACATATTTGGTGTGTCGTGTCAAGCTAGGACACCTGGTTAGCAGGGTCGTGTCGTATTGGGTCAAATAGTGGGTGTGTTGGATGGGAACTTCGTGTACATTCCGATGTAAAACAAACAAGGAAATGTAGAGCCATGAGCTTTGCGGCTGAAGATCGTCTCTTGGTAAAATTAGGATCTTCCTTGTATGATTGTGATGTAAAGCTTGCAGGTCATCGCTGTGAGATCCAACATTTCCTTGTAACAAGGAGCAATGACACTATTTTTGCAAAAAAAAAAAAGGAGCAATGACACTAGAGAAGCAAGAAGGAAGTATCCCTCCAACAATCCACTTAGGCTTGACCGCAACAGTTTCAGGATAAACCAGGTGATAAAGATGAGAGCCAGCATCAAGGACAAGGCCATCTGGCCGATTAGGGTGGCGATGAATACAAGATGGGGGTATTGGAAAGACCATCAAGCCCCAACGGGATTTAACAGGTTTGTTGAATGACGTTATGTAGCATATCTCCAAGAAAAAAAATCAGCAAAGTAAGCTTAGGATGCAATTATGGTCTAGCATTAGGGCCATAGTTATGTTCACAAAGAAAATCTTCAAATCAGATGAATACCTGTGTGATCTTGAAGATGACAGGAGGGTGGATGTCAACAACGCTTTAAGGCTCCACATATAAATGTGAACAAAGTGGAGGTTGGACCTGGTCCAGTCATCGGGAAGGAAGACAAGGGGCAATGCGACGCCACTGCCATTGATCAAGAAGTGAGTGGACTGGTCCATTTGACTTCCCGTATATGTTTGATTGTACTATCATTTTCTTCAAAATTACGTGATATACACAAAAGTTCATTTTTAGTGTGTCGACTTGGTTTTCTTTTTCTAACTGAGGTTAACTCGAATTTCTCCTTAAAAAGAACAGTAATCTTATCTGACTAACGTTCGCCAGGAACCTCCCCCGTTCCCTTGCCATGTAATGTCCCGGCGAATGTTCGCTACATATGCGCGTCCAAAAATAAAATCACACTCCTATGTTATAGGAGCTCATTGGGTTTCATGTTGTCAACAACCACTAATGGCAAGGATTTGGATTTCGTTTTGCTAATTTTACCGCCCTTGAACGAAAGGGGCGAAATTCGTTTTTCGGAACTTTTTTGGAAAATTTCAGACGAAAAGTACAATCCAAAATTTGAATCTTTGGATGAGAAGTGAATGAAATTGTCCCAAAAATTGTAATCCTTTAACAAAGGAAATAAAGAAGAATCAAAGAGGAATACCAACGATCCATTGATTAACTATCCATCCACGAATCCCAAATAGTTCAACTACCGGGATCCCACACTACTTGCTCGTCGAATCAATCAGGCCACCCAACCACGTTCACCTGAGTGGCTGCATTGTGTCCTGTTCTAGCCAGCCGGACAAGCGTGTCCGCTCCCCCAACAACCGTGTATGAGAGCGACACTCCTTGCTGCATCGTGTTGCCGCACGCATGTGGACACCGTCAACCAGGACAATGCAGTCGCCGCTGAGAGGCGGTGGGGAACCTGTTATTGTTTCTAGGGTTTCTAGCTCATTTCAAGCCTCTTATAGCAGAAATTCCTATTGGACACATTCTGCGTCAAAATGTCGTGCCGCCGCACACGCGATCGGCTAGATTGATCAAGATGGGCCGGCCCATTTAGAAGATAGTCGTGCGTTCCACCGATCCTGGTTTTGGGAACCTTCTGGAAGGTTCCAGCCGGTTTCTTCTAGTTTTGGGAACCTTCTATAAGGTTCTTGGTTTATCTCTGTTTCTGTTTTATTTATTTTCATCTTTATTTTCTTTTTCGTTTTTGCGTAGCCTCCCTCTTTATACTTGAATTTGGAGCATAACATAACAACTATAACAATGTTAACTTTTGGCTCCGTAGTGCTTAACCTATCATATATAACTAGCTTAACAATAACATAATTACATTGTCCACTTTTCAATTAGGGAATACCCAAGGATTATGCTCTCAGTCACTTTCCATGTGAAGATGCAAGTATCACGCTCCAGCAACCATGGAAGAACAATAATGCAAGTTCCGATATTCACCTATCAGGGATGAAAGAAGATAACAGTTCATAATTAACTTGACAGCTTTCGGGTTCTTTACTAAAGAACTCGAAAACCATGAAGTTATGCATGACTCTCTTCTTTCATCTGAGCAACCTCAGAGTAGATTAGAAGTACTCTATTAGGGTCGACTCCGCGGTCAAGGAGAAGCGCGTCAGTGAGGACCCTTTGGTGGCGCTCATTCAGGAGAACCCTCAGCTGATCCAACTAAAGTATTTTATGGATCTGGCCAGGAAGAATCCACCAACTAAGGAGAGAGAGGGCCCACCATGTAAGGAGAGTGACAACCCGTTGGCATTGGGTCCACCGACCATCATTCCCGACGACAATTGGTCCTCCACTGTGGGGATGTTCCCACATGCTCCGACTCCACGATCACTGGTTTACCCGACTACACCTCTGAGTAGTCCACCTACATAGTTTGACATTGATTTAGTGATATAGTTCATGTAGCTACTGATGTGGACTTGGATTAGCACTTTGCTTTTCGGTATATGAGTGATGAATGCTTATGTGGCTTGTGTATCATGTGTTATTTTTAACTTGCATTCCTTCTTGAATTTTTTTCACTTTCTTTGTAGATGAAATGGTATGCGATGTACAGAGGTAGGTGTCCAGGAGTGTACGATTCATGGTCCACATGCAATGAATAAGTGCTTCATTAGAAAGGCAGCTCCTACGATTCGTTCAATAGTAGAGAGGAGGCAGAGAATCATTACAATCAGTATGTGCTCAATCAGAAGAGAAATCATGTATTAGGATATGGTGCAGGCCAGCATATCGGGGTGAGTGTATTAAAGAACTTGATAATCCTCTTACAGTTTGTCCTAATGGCGGTGTTGCTTTCATCATGTGGTCATGTGTAGACATGCATTCACCACTTTGTTGTTTATTGAGAAGGCACTTGTGCTAAATAACTACTTTGTGACTTCATATGAAGCTTGTGTGAACCATATATTATGCCTTCGTGAGTTTGTTGTTATGTGTATGATCCTTATATGGTATACAAAGTTCTCTAAGTGGATATTCTTGATATATCTGTTTTTACTGCTGGGTTACATGAAAAAGAGGCAAAAACAATGTTGATAGTGTATCTTTCCTGAGAGCCACGCTCGGGAAAACAACCTTTTCCAAGAATGATGCTCAGCAGAAGGGACACGTGGCATGCATTGGCAGTTTGGTTGTGATTTTGCCGAGTGCCGATAAAGGTACTCGGTGAAGGAGAGTTGTTGGAGCTGCTTGTGTCAGTTAAGCCGAGCGTAGGCACTCGACAATGTGCACGAGTTTGCCGAGTGGCAGCTCTCGGCAAAGACCTGACCGGACCAGCGTCCATGAAGTCACATTGTTTTTACCAAGGCACACTATTTGGCTCTCGTAAAACTCTTTGCCGAGTGCCCAACAGTTGGTTCTCGACAAAGTTCTGTTTGCCTGAGAGGTGTACGCTAGGTGCTCTTTGCCGAGAACAATTCTCGGCAAATACTTTGCTGAGTTTATTTGGCCATTTACCAAGTATTTTACACTCGGCATAGGGTGAAATTCCAGTAGTGTGCATGGTATTGGAAACAAGGTTTTGGATTCCGAATGGGACATTTTTCTCGAGGGTGGGCGATAAACTCGGTTACCACGGTAACCACGAAATTCCAAAAAAAAATCGAGTGAAATTTGAAATCAAAATTTTAAGACACGAATACATAAGCCTTGAGCAGAAAATGTTGTCTACACTAGTGCTAGCGCAGCGGTAAGAGGTCTTCTCCAATGGCGCGCACAAGCAGGTCGCGAGTTCGACCCATCTGTGTAGAAATTACAGCTTCAAAAATCAAAAAAGGAAAAAGCAAAAAGTGCTGCTGGCTGGAAACGCGGTTACCGGGTGGTAACCGAATGTACGGCCCAGTACCGAAAACCTTGATTGGAAAGACTATCTTCGACCAAAAAAAAAAACCCATGCAAGTCCCATGAAACATCATCCCCTTGTTAGGGTCTGAACCGAAATGGAGTCTCCTCAGCGCTTTGGATTTTCAGCCGTCGGATCTGTTTTACCAGTCGCTGCTGACCGTTGGATCTTGGGCTCGGTCGCTGTGGGCCGTCGGATCTTTACCCGGTCGTCTCCGACCGTCCGATATTTTCGCTATGAGCCGTGTCCCGCCCGGTCGTGCCACCGCGCGTAATTACGCTGCCCCGCCGAGGGCATTCTCGTCATTTCGCGTAAAGTGGTATAAAAGCCGACTGCTCCTGTGTTGGAGACCTAGCCGCCTCCTCCCTCCCGCACCCACGCCTCCGCCGCGCCCAGCTCCTCCTCTATGCCGCCTCCTCCCATTCCCTAACCCTATCTGCTCCCCGCGCCACGGCCTCCTCCTTCGCCCAGCCCGCCGGATCCCCGCCGTCGTCATCGCGTCCACACGGGAGGTGCTCTGCCTCTTCCTCCCTCCTGGTTTCGGGCTGGGCATCACCTTCATCGCCGGCGTGGCTCCGGTGGACTCTGGCGGGATCCTCTCCGTCTTCTCCCTCGCCCCACGCGCGGTTCTGCTTCTCGCTGGCCACCGGGTGCAGCCTTGCAGGGGCGCATCGGGCTGGGCTCGCGCCGCACAGCCGTGAGGAACATAGAAGAGCACACCACCGGGCCGCACAGCAGGCAAGGAAGGAGCGCCGCCGCGGAATGGGTAGGTCAACGCCGCAGATTGGGGAGGAGCGCCGTCGCCGCCTGGACCAAGCTCCCTGCTCCACCGACCAAGGATGCTCGATTCCGGCCGCCTGCAGCACATCAGGCCATCCGCTAACAGGTCCCTTATCTTGTT